CATTCCAATTAAATTGAATGGGAATCGGGACCACATTGTCCAAATTAAGATTGTAGAGTCATGAATGATGGCTGGGGAGAACATTATCCACTTACCTCGCACCCACGTCTGGTGTAAGTGTTCAGAATCCGGAGTCTCAATTTCACAATTGAAGTTTGCATAAAATTCGCGGACTATACTTTCATAAACCGGGTGTGGCCTTTCTACAATCTTATGCCATCCACAGATTTGTATTAGATTTGTCAACTCAAAACCACGGAAGTCCTCTAACCGGACCTGTCTCTCTGGTATCATGCCCCAATGGCGTATTATGTTCTCGTATCGAGCTACTATTTCTGCATCTCGAAATCTTCGTACACCTCCTATTAGCTCTCTGGTGCGGGCTGTGCCGGAGGAGGAACCAACTTTTTCTTTTCCCTTTGATGTTCTCTTCGGCGGCATCCTACAAAAGTAAGGAACAAAGTGTATCAAGTTCTTGAAATAAGAAAACAATAAAGAATGTCATTGACATGCAAGAATCCCCCAAACTTTCTTCAAAATGTGTGCAATATTCAACGTATGGAAGTCAATGTAACATCAATATTGCATTAATGAGAAAAACTCAAACTATGGCTCTGACATGCACTTTTTGAAAATTTGACCCATGACTAAGTGACCATCTTCAGCCCCGAGCATCACCGAGAAATATTAAAATTTCCTCGGACAAGGTCCGGACATATGAAAGTACTCATTGTGGGCTATCATATATCCAAATTTCACTACAATCGGAGGTCGTTTGGTTAGGAAAATACATGGACGAAGTTAGTGACGTGAGTTGACATGGCTTAGCAATTATGTGTTTATGTGCATAAATATGTGAGGCGAATGTGTTCTAATGAAATTCCATGAGATTTTCGTCTATTATGCCTCACAATAACAATGTAAATCATTACACAAACGAAAAGTCCAAAATTTCAAATCTTATGTCTCATTGATATTTAATCAAACACGTTGTGTGCATTGGAAATTTCTAACACTTCGTTATTGATTTACACTTAGGGCTAATCCACAAATCACAATTCAATCATATTTCAACACTCAACCAACTCGAAAATGTCATAAAATCAAAGAATGGCTTCAATCTTTGCATAGAAATTAAATTTCTTACCTTGAGACCTTAGTGAGATGAAAGTGGAGAGTATGCTTCAATATTCTTGATATCAATCCCAATGAAGAGAAAAATGTGGTGCTAAGGTGAAGATTTGATGCTTGTGGGTGATTGATTGTGTGTGAAGATGGATTGGGGGGAGGGAAAAAGGGCGTGTTCATGTAGGGTGAAATGGGGAAAATGGGGTGGGATTTGCAAGTGACGAGTTTAAAACCCGTTACTTATACACCATGCGGCCGCATGGTGTAGTTGAGGTCCACCAATTTTGGTTCGGTAGGGGTCCATGCGGCCACATGGATAAAGTCAAATTTTTTTAAATTTTTTTTTAAAGGGAATATGCTTATTGAAAACTTGGCACCAAAACCAATTCTATACAAAAGGTTTTTTTTTTTTTTTTAAAAGCATCTCAAAAAATAAAACGAACGATTTTGAACCATGAAATTCATTACTTCACACTCAAACACCCAAAACATTTTCTTTAACCCTGACTCATGCAACTATAAGCGTGTAGTGCCTAGACTATCATGCGTGAATGATCGATGACCTAATAAAACATACAAAATTTAAACAAATTCCTAAACTAATGCAATAAAATAAATTGAAGGATACTGTGGGTTGCCTCCCACCCAACGCTAGTTTATAGTCGATAGCTCGAATTTCCTGTGTCTTCTTCACGTTGGGTTGCTGAGTTGCACAATGGACTTCTGCTTAGGGAAATTATAGCCCCAATAATGTTTTAGTCTTTGCCCATTGACGATAAAAGTGCCTTTGGTCTCGTGACTCACTTCAATAGTCCCATATTGCATCACCTTAGTTATGGTATAGGGACCCGACCACCTTGTTCTTAGCTTTCCTGGGAAGAGTTTGAGTCTAGAATTGTACAATAACACTTTCTGGCCAACTTCAAACTCTCGCCTCTGAATGTGTAAATCATGCCATCTTTTGGTGCGCTCCTTGATCAACTTTGAGTTCTCGTAAGCTTCCATTCTCATCTTATCCAATTCATTAAGTTGCAGCGGTCGTTTTTCACTAGCAGCCTTGAGATCCATATTCAACTGTTTCATAGCCCAAAATGCTCGGTGTCCAATGGTAGATGACACGCTTTCCCAAAAATCAGGCGATATGGAGACATTCCTATTGGTGTCTTAAACGCTGTTCTGTAAGCCCACAGTGCATCGTCTAACTTCTTAGACCAATCCTTTGGGGATGAGTTCACTGTAACTTCCAACATTCTCTTTAACTGCCTGTTCAAAACTTCAACTTGCCCATTGGTTTGTGGATGATATGGAGTTGCTACTTTATGTTTCACCCCATATTTGTTCAACAGCTGCTCTAATTAACGATTTATAAAGTGTTTGCCTCCATCACTTATTATCGCCCTCGGTGTACCATATCTTGTGAATATGTGCTTCTTCAAGAACTCTATTACCACTTTTGCATTGTTGGTAGGCAATGCAACAGCTTCCACCCACTTAGAGACAGAGTCAACGGCCACCAAGATATATTGGTTTGAGTACGATGGGGGAAAAGGTCCCATAAAGTCTATTCGCCATACATTAAATATTTCAACCTCCAAGATGTAGTTTAGTGGCATCTCATTTCTTCTTGAGATATTTTCGGTTCGTTGGCATCTATCACATCTCTTCACATACTCAAATGTGTCTCTGAATAAAGTAGGCCAATAGAAACCCGATTGTAGGATTTTTGCAGCAGTCTTTGAAACTCCAAAATGCCCAGCATATGCAGAAGCGTGACAATGCGCTAGAATCTCTGGTACTTCATCTTCAAGAATGCATCTTCTAATTATCTGATCTGCGCCTCTTCTGTAGAGAATGGGATCCTCCCAAAAATAATACTTAAGCTCTGCGAAGAACTTCTTTCTTTGATGGCTAGAATACTCTGGTGGAGGGATGGACTTAGCAAGGTAGTTAACAATATCAGCGTACCATGGGACTATTTCTACTCCAAAAATTTGCTCATCTGGAAAGATTTCATTGATGTCATCCCGTTCCAATCTTGATAGGTGGTCAGCTACCACATTTTCGCTGTCCTTCTTATCCTTGATCTCAATATCGAATTTTTATAACAACAATATCCAGCGGATCAATCTCGGCTTAGCATTCTTCTTTGCCATAAGATACTTCAGAGCGACATGATCTGTGTAGACGATGACCTTAGACCCAACAAGATACGATCTAAACTTGTCGAATGCATAAACCACAACTAGCAATTCCTTCTCGGTTGTCGCATAGTTGATTTGGGCGTCATTCAAAGTTCTACTTGCATAGTATATCACATGAAAGATTTTATTCTTTCTTTGTCCCAATACCGCACCAACTGCATGATCACTCGCATCGCACATTAGCTCAAAGGCCAAATCCCAATCAGGTGACACAATCACAGGCGCTGTTGTTAGTTTTTCCTTCAAAGTATTGAACGCTATCAAACATTCCTCATTAAACTCAAAAGATACCTCTTTTATTAGCAAGTTGCACAGAGGCTTGGTGATTTTGGAGAAGTTTTTTATAAACCTTCTGTAAAACCCTGCACGCCCAAGGAAGCTTCGAACTTCTTGTACTAATGTAGGTGGTGGTAGTTTCTCAATAACCTGAATTTTCGCCTTATCCACCTCTATCCCCTTTGTCGATACTCTATGTCCCAAGACTATTCTCTCTTGAACCATGAAATGACATTTCTCCCAGTTCAATACTAAGTTCGTTTCTCTGCATCTTTGCAAAACCAAGTTTAAGTGATCCAAACACTCATCAAATGAGGTCCCAAAGACCAAGAAGTCATCCATAAAGATTTCAATGAATTTCTCCATCATATCTGAGAAAATTGCCATCATACATCGCTGAAATGTGGCAGGACCGTTGCAAAGTCCAAATGGCATTCTTCGGTATGCAAAGGTATTATAGGGGCATGTGAAGGTGGTCTTTTCCTGATCATTCGGTGCCACTGGTATCTGATTATTACCCGAATACCCATCCAGAAAAGAGTAGTGGGAATGGCCTGCCAGTCTCTCCAACATCTGATCTATAAACGGAAGAGGGAAGTAATCTTTCCTTGTAGCGGTATTTAGTTTGCGGTAATCAATGCAAACTCTCCACCCTGTTACCGTCCTTATCGAAATCAACTCATTCTTTTAATTTTGAACCACTGTAATTCCTCCTTTTTTGGACACAACTTGCACTGGACCAGTCCATTTACTATCTGATATCGGGTAGATTATTCCAGCATCTAGAAGTTTGATCACCTCAACTCTTACCACCTCCTTCATGTTTGGGTTTAGCCTCCTTTGACTTTCAACTGTTGGTTGAAAATTCTCCTCCATGAGAATTTTATGCATACATAAGGAAGGGTTGATCCCTTTGATATCTGCTATGGTCCACCCAATTGCTTGCTTGTTATCTCTAAGCACCCTAAGCAGTTTTTCCTCCTCCACTTCACTAACCATGTTTGAAATTATCACTGAAAGTGTATTAGACTCCTCCAAATAGGCATATCTTAAGTGTGGGGACAGCTGCTTAAGTTCCAACTTTGGTGGCTTCAGAATAGATGGCTGTGATTTCTCAGGCCCTGTCCCAAGCTCCTCAAAGTATCGTTTGCGCATGTAAGGTGGGTTGGACTCCAAAAATCTTGCACACATTTCTATGTCCACAGAATCAGATTTTGTGGATTGAGAATGTGCAATACAGGCTTCTAATGCATCTGATGGATTTTGCAGTGTAAACGACTCTTCAATCATTTTATCAATCATGTCAACCTTGAAACATCTGTCAGTCTCTATTGGCAGTTTCATAGCCTTGAAGACATTGAATGAAACATGTTCTTCTCCCAATCTCAGTATCAACTACCCATTCTGAACGTCGATCAAAGCTCTGCCTGTGGCCAAGAATGGTCTGCCCAGTATTAAAGGAACATATTTATCTTCTTCCATATCCAGAATCAAAAAATCTGCTGGGAATATGAACTTCTCTACTTTAACCAATACGTCCTCAATTATTCCTCGTGGATGTGTCAATGATCTGTCAACCAGCTGTAAGGTCACCGTGGTAGCTTTAGCTTTTCCCAATCCTAATTTCCTGAAAATAGACAATGGCATTAAGTTAATACTTGCACCAAGATCACATAATACTTTATCAAAATAAACTTCACCAATGGTACAAGGGACAGTGAAACTCCCTGGATCTTTCAATTTTGGCGGGAGCTTTCTCTGAATCCTGGCACTGCACTCCTCTGTTAGCATAATTGTCTCGTGATCTCCTAGCTTTCTTTTGTTTGATAGGATGTCTTTCAGGAATTTTGCATAGCTAGGCATCTAAACTAGTGCTTCAGTGAATGGGATGTTGATATGGAGCTTCTTGAAGACCTCGAGAAACTTCTTGAATTGCTGTTCCATCTTTTGCTTCTTCAGCCTCTGTGGAAATGGTATGGGTGGCTCATATGGGTTCACAGTACAGTCTCTTTATCCCTTGAGTTTCCTTTATTTGCTCTCGGTGTTGGCTCTTTTGTCTGCTCTTCTTGCTACAAAATTTCTTCTACTTCAGGAGACATCTCTTCTCTATTTGCCACGGGATTATTCACTTGTCTCTTAGGTAATTCCACTCCACTTCTCGTTGTTATAGCCTTTGCATGCTCTTTCGGATTGACTTCTGTGTTTCTTGGCAACCTGCCTGGTGCTCTACCTGTTAATGCAACTGCCATCTGTCTCATCTAACTTTCCAAATTTTTGATGGCTGCATTCTGGTCCTGAAGTGTGGCTTCTGTCTTCTTCATGAATTGGTTGTTCGCCTCCATATATTGGTTGGTTTGTTCCATGAATTTGTTGAACATTTCTTCCAATTGAGGCTTCTTCTCTTGCTGTTGATATTGCCCCTGTGGCCTATTCTGATTTTGGTTGCTCCAAGAAAAGTTGGAGTGCTTTTTTCAGCTTGGGTTGAAGGTCTCTCCATATGTGTTATTCTGCTGGCGTTGTCCCCATTGAGCAAAATCTGCTTGCTCTTTTCCTTGTGCCAAAATTGGACATTCTGCTGTCACATGCTCAGCTCCACATTCCTCACAATTTGCCTTCTTTGTCTGCGCTGCGTTAGCTGACTAGGTAATGTTTTCCACCTTGTGAAATAAGGAATCAATCTTAGCGGATAACGGTAAATATACATCCACTTCATAAACTCCTGGTGTCTTCTTTGGTACTGCTCGTTCCATGGTCCACATTGCTCAGGTCGTAGCCATTGTCTCATATAACTTTAATGCTTCATCAATTGTTTTCGTGGACAATGACCCATTAGCTGAAGAGTCGACCATGCTCTTGAAAGCTGGAAGTAGCCCTGCATAGAAATATTGGACCTGAAGTCCCTTGCTAATCCCGTAGTGTGGAAACTAAGTAGATTTTTGAATCTGTTCCAAGTCTCATCAAAATTCTCAGATTCACCTTGCCTGAAAATAGATAAGTCGTGCTTTAGCTTTGCTATCTTGGCCGGTGGGAAGAGCTTAGTACAAAACTTCTGAGCTAGGTCATTCCAAGTAGTAATGCTGGCTATCAGCTGAGAATCAAGCCATTCAATCGCCTTGTCTCTCAAAGTATGTGGAAACAGTCTTAATCTTATGGCATCGTCAGAGACTCCTTGATATCTGGAGTGCTGACACATCTCTAAGAAACGCGAGACATGCGTCTGCGGATTCTTTTCAATTCTTCCATAAAACTGATGTCCGTTCTGGAACAGTTGTATCACATTTGTCTTCAATTGGAAATTTGGCTGCTCGAACGGTGGATATACAATGCTGGACTAGCTTTGAATGATTTGAAGGGTCATGAACTCTCCAATAAGCATGTTTCCTTCATCTTCTTCCCCTCTTTCATTGGCTTGTACAACACGATTGTGTTGTACATTCGCTATCTGATTTCTCGCTGCTCTGTTTTCTTTCTGCCTTCTTCTTAAGCTTCATTCGATCTCTGGATCGGCTGGGAGTAGATCTCTTTCAGCAGATCTTAGCATGCACTTCTGCAAGAGAAATCAATTTAAACTCTTAAATAACTAAAATTTGCACTTATATAATAAAAATAAATAAGCTATAAAATAAAATGAACTAAAATAAAATTAAAAATAAAAAGTTCGAATTAGTGCTAAATTGAATAAAATTAAACGAATACTCAATCCTCGGCAACGGCGCCAAAAACTTGTTCACAAAATATTTCTTTCGATTTAAAACTACCGCAAGTCTACGGATCGTAACAAGTAATAAAGTGGATTTTTAAAAGTCCGAATATTGTCCCACAGAGATTGAGTAGTTCAATTCTATATAATCTAGCCTTAACCGAATCTAATTGAGTGAAAATATGGTCCAAATGCAAAAAAACCCTAATTTCAATTAAAAACCCTAATTTCTCAATTAGAAACCCTAATCTCGAAATTTCTTTAATTAAACGACTTAAACACTCAAGTAAATGAAATTATGCAAATTCAAAAGCTAATTTATGGAAATGAATCAAAATAAAGTCACTAGGATCACGAATCCCCAATTGAAGTTATAAAAAACTCTAATTTCATAAAATTAACCCGACGGAAATTTGCCAATTCAATGTTCCTAAATCTATCCAACATATTCTCTCGATATATATTAGACCTATTCTTGCACACCATCAGCCTATATCTCTATGGATGATGCAAATATATAAGAATGCATGTGGTTTTGTGAACAATTAGAGAATTGCATAAAGCATAGGGGTATATCTCTATCCCCTATCGGACCTTATGTTGATTTACACCTTATCGAACCTATTCCACTTCTCTCGAATATAAGAAATAATTCATCAATACTCACACAATCATTTGCCACTAATTGCGGAAGAAAATCAATACATATAAACCAATCAAATTATCCAAACGAGTCTTTATATTAAATTCATGAAATATGGAATTAAAATAACAAACAGTGGTTCATCGATCACCTAGTGAATTGAAAACCTAGCCTAGACTATTCATAATTACAAAAAAAAAAGAAATTAATAAATAGAAAGAATAGCACCTGTATGAAAATTTCTTAAAATCTTGAATAAAGACTTGAAAACCCGCTTGAATTCTTGTGGAATCGGCTTCAAGATCATGTTTCTTGCCTCCAAAAGTTATATTTTTCTTCTCCCTGGACGTTCTACCCTATTTCTGATGAATTTTGGCTTTTATATCATATCCTCATGGAGCCCCGAAAGAATTTCAATTAAAAACGCAAGTTCAAAATTTTCTTCGATTTTTAAAGCCATACGACCGCATGGTGTTAAACCATACGACCGCATGTTTCAAGTGAACCACCTCATTAAAATCCCTGCAACCTTATGTGCGGCCGCATGGCATAGTTCTGTGCGACCGCATGGTTGTAACTTACAACCTTGCTGTTTTGGTCCCTGAACTTCGTTTTCTCTTTTCTTGATCTCTTTTCTCTCTTTCCTTTGTTCCATTATCAAATATTGACTCCTAATTGATGTTTGGGTCAATCAATTCCTTGATCACTTGTTCGGCTCATCTTTTGATTAATTGCAATTTAGTCCTTCATCTTTCACTTTTCTTCAATTCAGTCCAATATTACTTCTTTCTTCCTCCGATCATCTTGCATCATCCTCAATCTCATACTTGGCATATTTTCATTCTCGTTCTGCACTTTAGCTCAACTTTCCAATATTTGCATCTTTGGTCCCCGAACTATCGCTTTGTTTCGTTTTGGTCCTTTTTCAGCTCTTTTCTTCTGAATTCCATCTTTTCAATAAAACACCTACATTGCATGAATTTAACGAGATTAAGTCACAAAGAAACTATTTTGTCCATATTTAAGTCATGTTTGTGAGCTAAATAAGTGTGTAAAAACACACTTATCGGTGGCCAATAGAGAGGAGAATCCAAAGAGAGTTCTTTTGTTTTCGTATTAATATTCACAAGCCACCCAAGGTTATTCAATGCCTTTTCTTGACTTGGAACCCTATTATTGGCGTGGCTTCTTAACATCTCAACTATCTCTTCTCGATCTCATTCTTTTTGGACTCTCTCATTTTGCTCATGCCAACAATACTTCTATCATATAGGAAGGACTGTAGTACAAAATGTACTTTTAAATAATTGTCCCATAGATCCTATATATATTTATATGAAAAAGAGATCATGTAATGATAGGGGTTCTTATTTGCCCAAATGAGACTTTGAATTTGGCTCGAGTATGAAGAAATTAACAATACTTCTTCATCTTTTGAGTTGTTCTGTCGGATTGGCTGTTCAAGATCTTTGGTCTCTACCCAGACTTGACGAAAAGAAAAAAGGGATAATTTGTTATGGATTCGTTGAGAATGATTCTGATTTAGTTCATGGCCATGGAGATAACGATCATGGCAAAAGGCACTGTTACTTATGTAAAGATGATCAACAATTTACTACAGGATAAAGAATGAGAAACCACAGTTTCCATTCCCTGACTGTCAACCCAAGGTGTATTTGTATATTGTTTTGAGCTTTTAAGTAAATGCAATATGAGTTAGCTGCTTTTCATGGCATCTTTTTCAAGTTTCCACTTTCTGAGTTGGGGATAAAGTTGACCGAACTTACCATTGTACATAACTGCAGAACATATGATCATGTCTTTCCATACGCAAGTGTAATTTTTTGTGCGAGCTAACTCCACTGGGATCATTTTGATAAGCTGTTAATTTTACTCTCTCTACCAGCTAAGTCTACTGGAATTTCTCTGCTTGAAATTTTCATCTCTGTTCTCTCAATATAATCCTAAGATTTCTTGTTTCCGGCATAAAACAGACGGTGGTTTTATCATTAATATCGCCAATCCATGCAGCAATGGGCCCTGCTACTTGGAAAGGGATCTGCCCAAACACATCGCCCCCCTATTGGCTGGCTGTTTGCCCTGTCCAAGAAGAATTACTCATGCAGCAACATTCAGTCAACATCTATAATTTTTAACTTTGTCTTGTACTTCATTCTTCGACGCGCTCTCTTTATGTGGCCTATGATACTTTGTTCTTGTTTGGTGAAGTATACAATATTCTATTAGACATTATAAAAGAAGAGAAAAGTAGTTATAATCTTTATTGTTTCTAATGTTTAGTCCTGTTTAACACTGCATGGCAAACATATCTTTATTTATTTGGATGTTAGAATCATCTTTGGTGCAGTTAGTGTTACTTATGAACTCCTAAGATCTGTTTGGAATGGCCCTCATAAGTCATAAGCAGAATAATGTGGCAGTGAAAATGGCAATTTTTGTAGACTGTTTCAAAACTTTGTATGGGTACATTGACTTTTGCTTCTTGCTTTGTGATGAAATTTCCTCAATTATAAATCCCTTCTAGGTAATTTACAGTGAAGGCTCAAACTTGCATTTACTAAGGTTCTTTCTCTAGAATGCTTTTGTAACTCAAGAAAGCCTGTTTATACCTTTATTTACTTTGGGTTGGTGCACTGAAGTTTACCTTCTGTGAACAACTTTGCCCGTGAAGCCATGAATGAATGAATTGTGTAAAAGATTTTGAAGGGAAATAAAATAGGGACTCTATACGAGAAAGAAAAAATTCTTGCAACTTAGAACAGTCTGCTTGAAACTTGTGCATGGTTGATTTAGTAAATCTTGTCTTACAAGGATTTACAAGGGAAAACAGCCAAATATTTCTGCACTAGGCTCAGTGCAATAGCAAAAATTGCACCCAGAAAAGCCAAGATAGCCCAAGGCAGATAAATTGGTTGTGCATCCATTCAACAATCCATACTCGTCCTTTATTCATGCAGTGCTTTTCAATCTGCTACTTAGCATCTACATAAGTTCAAGGATCGGGCACCAGAAAATTTGCTATTATGTTAGAGTTGCACCAGTTGTTCATCACTACCTAAATTATTCAAGAAGAATTCCCTTCTTCCGGAGCTATTTAACATCCTCGGCGTGATCAATGAGTGAATCCATAAGCCTAATGTTTGACGTAATGCATAATTCAGAAGGGCCATGTGGACTAATTTCATAAGCTGCCAAGTTTAATAGCAAAGGTCTGAATCACCTTCTTCTGGTTCTGTTTCTGTATTATCTGAATTGTTAGTGTCTGTCTTTGTTAAGATGCAAATGAATTGAAGGACGAAGCAACCGTCAAGAATTGTCATTCTGATGAGTGATTCACGTCATAGATTTCAGTCGAGCCTTCTTCGTAGCATTCCCGAGCAATGTCAGCTACCTTCGCCACCTTTTTATTTAACTGTTTGACTGATACTTGATCAATACAGGCACGAACAAATTGCTGAGCATATGCGATTTTGAGTTTCTCCAGTGTTTTGTGCTTGGGATTTCTATGATGATAATGGTCTATGTAAACAACATGAGGATCATTACATTTCTTTTTGGATTCAATCTCACGCAATATTGATGTACACATACATGTTTGGATTTCGTGAATGTTTGGTAAAGTCTTTTGTAATTATAAAATTTTGAAGACTAGTTTATTTTTTTGTAATCGTCATTCATTTAGTATTTTGCAATATCATAAGTGCCAAAACGGGTTGGTCAACAGAACATCATACAATTATTGCACAAGCATACAATTAAAAACACAACAAAACGGAAACAATGGAAACAAACAGTAGAAGAGGGAACTTTTGCAACTGAAGAGCTTATTCGATAACATTGATTTAGGAAGTCTTGTCTTCTGAGGTTTAGCGCGGGTAAGCAGTGAAATATGTCTGTGCCATAGTAAGGGCAAGGACGAGAATTGCCCCTAGAAAAGCCAAGAGAGCCCAAGGACTCCTAAAATATTTGTGAATCCATTCAGCCATCCAGATATGTCCTTTATACTTGCAATGTTTATCAATTTTCAACCTAGCATCTGCATATGCACGAGGATCAGGTTCCAAATCATTAGCTATGTTGTTAAAGAGTTGTGCCAATTGTTCGTCACTGCCTAATTTGTTGATAAGGATTCTCTTCTTCCTGAGCTCTTTAACATCATCAGCATAATCAATGAGTGAATCAATTAGACAAATGAATGACGTAATGCGAAAATCAGAAGGGCCATTGGGACACATTTCATAAGCCGCTAAGTTTAATAGCAAAGGTCTTGTTAAATGATCAACCTTGAATGGAGGAATTGTAAGAGTGCCAAAAATATGGTAAGATATGAACTCTACATCAGTAAAACTTCCACTCTGACTTGGTTTGAAATAAATTCCTGCTGATTTGAGGTCGGTTACTGAACGAAATGATTCCTGGATATTTGATTCCCGGAAATTTGATTTTGATTCCTCGATAAATGTTACCAGGTTTTTGATTTCATGCACGAAAGGCTGGATGAGCTGTTCCCGCATTAGATGTAGAAGGTGAGGACTTGTGCTGAGCGCTTTTTCTAATTTCTGTTTCTTTTCGTCTTGATCTCTTTTAGAGCGTCCCATCATTTGTGCAAGAAATTTCTTCATAGGATTAGGGGATGAACGCTTAGGTGACACCATGGTGTAAAGTTCAAGGAATTCCATTATATATCTCTCTCCTCGACTTGGCGTTTCTGGAAACATAGATTTCATCAAAACTGTTAGTACTGGTAAAGGAATTTGATTCTCTAGCAAGAACAAGTCCCTCAACACAAGGTAGAAACTCTTTTCCAGTCGTGCATCTGCTTCGTTTTCTTCCCCAACTTCCACTTGGATAACAAATCCTACCCCAATCAACACAAAATGAACCACAAAGCAAGCATCAAGAAACATCATTCTGTTGAACAACTCATCATCATCAACTTTAATCGAGCCTTCCTCATAGCATTCACAGGCAATTTTATTCAGGTCTGCCACAACTTTATATAACTGTTCGACTGATGTACGACTAAAACGACACAATTTGTGCGCAATTGGAATTTTTAGCTTCTCGAATGCTTCGAACTCTGACTTTCCATGATGATAAGGGCCTATCGAAACTACGGAAGGATCAATACAACCTTCGTATGATTTACGCTTACGCAGATGTGATGGAGCCCTTTCTATTTGGGGTTTCTTTTTTGTTTTGTCAACATTATAATTCTCTATAGAAATCCACCACTCATCATCGGTAATTATGACGCTTGATTCTTGTGATTTTGTGCGTAAGATCTCAACCCTTCGGTTATCTTCTGTGGCTCCAACTGTCGTCATTCCTTGGATGTGAACACATATTATAAACAGTTTGTTTCATAAAATTTTATCAACTAATCAAACTTTAATTTTAAATCCACATTTTATTAATTTTTATTAAAAATTGGTTAGATTTTTATCAACAATTTTGTCAAACAATTCCTAAATTGGTCGACTGTTATGTGCTTTAAGGAAAAAATTTGAATAACATTAACTACTAGAACTAGGATACTTCTAGCAACTTTGCAAGAATTCCAAGCTACGCATCTATAGTGGTGGCCTGACTATAGAAGGGGACGTTTGTCTAAATTCTTACTTTTATGAGGGCCCCCAAAAAAATTATTGCATATAGTTCATAAAAAATTACAAATAAAATAAAGTTCAAATGCAATCAATCAATTCAATTCAATTGTCCAACTAGCAAGCATGTTACTATTTAATTAAACTATAAATGATGGGTTAGTTTGGTCTTTTTTGTAGAAATATTTAAAGATTAATTAAGTAGATATCTTAGATTAAATTAATAAGATTTCAAGCATAATAAATAAAAACCGTTTTAGAACACTTGGTAGAAACTTGTGATGACCTTAACGCATTTAGAGATGCTAAAATTTATCTTTTGACATTATAAATTTTGTGTTCTCATTTTACAAGATTATTTGGTACAATATATAGCAATTATTAATAGAGTAAGCAAAATGTTGTAAATTGAGGATATGTCTATTGATGATACTATTAGTCTTTCAAAAGCACATATTTTATTTTTTGAAATATATCGAGAAACTATATTTGAATCTGAAAAGACTATCGCCAAAGAAATCGCTGTATAAATGAAAGTTGAATAGACATTTTATGAAAAAAGTAATATTAATAGAAAGAAGCACTTGGATGAAATTTCAACGATGAGACAACACATTTGTATCTTACATATGTTGATCATAACCTTTTTTTTTTTTTTTTTCCTTTTAACTTAATGTAAGGTTTGAATAATTTCAAAAAATATGAGATTTTTGGATTTTTATTTGATTCTCAGAAAATTAAACACTATATATGATTATTCTTTGAAGTATTGGTTTCATAAGTTTGAAGATCATTGAAGTACGATAGAAATTCTGATATTACGGACAAGAGTTATTTTTTTAGCTGCAAACTTGATAAATTATATGTTAGAAGAGATTAAAAAGACAATTGAAATGCTATATTATATTAAGGACCACAATGGTTATTCTGACAACTAGGGTTATTCTAACGACAAGGGACTAATGCATGTTAAGATTTTGAGGACAAATGAACTCGCAAAGCTGTTACCAATTATCGTCATCCCAACTACCAGTAGGCCATTACATATTGAAGAATTTTATGCAAATAAATTAGAATTTTGCTGAGAATTGTTGCATATAGGGGATTACAATAATCAACTTGACAAGAATTTTGAAAAACTTTATTTCTATAGCCAATTCTCTCTTGAGAAATAATTTATGATTATTAAATGCAACAAAAGATTAGACAATATGCGATAACAATAAGTTGTAAACAGCATATATATTAACAATCAGACGTAATTAGAAACAATGTATAAGGTAGAGAAAAATGTAACAAACAAGAACATATTAAAGAAAAAAAATCCCTCAGGTGAGATGGGATGGAGTGGGGGTACCTTTTGGTCCCATCGAGGATAAGCAGCAAACTTATGTTTCCAAAAGACTTGGAAAATATAGTGTTTGCATAAGAAGCAAAAAGATGTTGTTTCATTGTAATAACATATGAAACATTTTCGTGTATTTATACATGTCAAAAGAAGGGAATATCTTAGAAAAACTTAATTTTGTAGAATCACTTTAGAAAACTTCCACTTGATTTTCAGTAAATTATAAGTATAGAATAATAGTAAATGGTACTGTTTATACATTTTAGAAAGAATTTTATCTTTTCAGCCATATAAATTATTTTATCTCTTTTTTTTATATTGTTTTTTCTCTTTTTCTTCTCTTCTCCATTTCAAGTGTGTAAACAAATAGTAAAAATTTTTATACTTGATTAAGATACATTGAGAAGTCGAGCAAGGTTACAAGTATCGAGCAATACTTTTAGAGCTATTTGGAAAATAATTTTTGAAAACTATTATTCTCTATAGCATTTTCAATCACGTATTTTATGGGACCCATACTTTTAGTTTTCTTGTAAAAATTATTTTCACTTGAAAAAATCTCTCCCAAATAAGCTTTCAATTTGACCACAAGCAAACAAAACATAAACTACAAAATAGTATTATGTGTATGAGCTTATACATTAATTTGATAACTAGCTAAATAGATTTCATGAAAAAAGAAAAAAAAAACTACTAATGGAAAATCATCGTACAAAAGTTAGCACTTTGAGTTTTAGTTGCATTACACATATTGCTTAAAAGAATTATAAACTTAATTTCTTGACGTGCTTTATTACGATATTAAAGTTAGACTTGAACAAGCAAAAATATTTAGGTGTATACGTTAAACCAAGTTATGTCACAAGTACGTACATGTTTCGAAAGATCTCTCTTAAAAACTCATTTTAATTTTACTATTTAACAATTTGATAATAAATCTTGTTTTCATTATGATTGACATCATATTGTATATTCTTTTACATATTTAAGATAAGAAGGTAAACAAAATAATATTAAATAAAATTGAAAGAAAAAAGAAAGTTGAAATCTTGATTATTATCATATGCATTCGAGTTTAATAGTGCACAATACATATTATTTATATAAATTTTTTTATGGTCTCCTCTATTCTTCTCTTTTTCGTGGGTAATTTACAAGTTAAAAACAAGTAGACCAAATAATTCATAAGTACAATGTAAGAGTATGCCAATCGTAGTGTTGTGTGTAGCAAGGATCTATGCTAAACAACTTTAACAAAGCTTAGAATTCTAGGAACAATCTTTTCACTATCACAAGTTTAGAATAATAACATGCTAAACACGAAGAATTATGAAACCCAACAAACACGCGAATGAAATTTGGGATATAAAAGAATGCAATTTTCATTTATTGAGTGCATGAATGTTATTATCAACGACTCAATTGAGACATGTTTAGTAAGGTGCAGTAAATAGTATTATAGATTATTAAAAAGAAAAAAAATTATAATATTGTCTATTATTATATAATCTTAATCAATATTGTATAACAAACATAACATTAGTAACAACATTCCATGAAATAATATGGTTGGATCTTCCTTCAACTTGTCAAGAAAAACACAATAGGATAACAAAAAAAATATAATGAACCGGATAAATAACGTGTAAAAAATTAAATTGAGGTGATTTAATAATGTATTTCCATATAAAAAGTAATTTTTTATAACAATTATGTGACGTTAAGAAAGAAAAATAAGTTGAAGTTTTGAGAGATTTCTATGTTTGTCAATAACAACCTGATTATCTCTTCTTCTTTTTTCACCTCTTTACGTGGTATTTATAAGGAGATGAAACAACTCATAAATTTAATGTAACATTATGTTGTAGTTTCACGTATAAATCCTAGTATTTCGTATGCATCACAAAGCAGCTATTTTGAACAACTTTATGCACATATCACAAGTTAAATATATTAAAATGCTAAACACGAGGTGTACTTAACTAAACCATATATAGCAATATCAAGTTTTTCGTTGTTGTCACTTATTTACTAATTCCATCAAGTTTGTCACATAAAAAAGTTTATAAGTGACAAAAATAATTGATGCTTCCAAAGAATGGGGAGCAAAATGAAGTTTCTTTAGAACTTTTGGTCCAAAAATAAACAACAAGGAAATATGAGCAAAAGTAAAAACCCCAGAAGCGGCATCGATAAATTCTCACTTAACATCTACACAGCTTCAGGGAATCTCATGTACAAAGGACACTTCATCTTCATGACAACCTTAATTTTACAGAATCGCCTTTGTCGCTTTAATAAATTATTAATTAACTTTGAGAAAATTATAAGATTAGAATTTCACGAATAAGCAAATCAGATTCATACATGCTTTGCTAAGCTTAAAAGTTGATAAAAATTATTTTTAAGTAATTTATACTTATTAAACATGTTTGGCAGAAGGTTGTTTATATCTAAAAACTGTAATATCTTTGGTCAACTACATCACGTATAAATACAAGAAGAATTTGAGTACAAGACATTATAACAAGATAATTAGTATCAAAATCTTTGCATGCACTACACAAGCCCAAGCCCGAGCTACAGCTTGTATGATTATCACAAATTACATATCCAAGTACGTATCCATCCATTTGTACAAGTAGTTAAATTTCTTTAGAAGATATATTTATCAAGAACTCCACTCTCTGTAAATACATATAAATATTTGGATAAGATTTTGAAACAATATCAAGTTGTTTGTCATGGAACAACATAAGATGTGCAGTTTTTAGGTGCATGCCTAGGAACCGAGATGTCCACAGAAGCTATGGCATCACATATCGATTGCCTATCTTTGGTACATGTGAAAAGTGGAAGATGATATCAGATTAATCTACCATTTTGTTGGAGAAAATAAGATATTAAACCACAATTGAAATAATTGATCGTAAGAACACAAGAACAACGTAATTTTACAGATATTGAGATTTTATTATAATATGGAGAAAGAATACAAAGATTATGTGTTTACAATGTTTCTAACTTCGTACTAAATTATAATGAAAAGCCAACTATATATAGGAAATAATTCAAGCTCTAAAAATAGAGTTGTAGATGAAATAGAATGTCTACAAATTTTATCTTGATCTCTTTAAGTCCAACACAAATTTGAACTTTCAATATGGCTTCCAAATAGAATTTTAACTAGAATTTGCCAAATAGACTTCAAATATGATTCCAAAAGTATTCCAAATAAAATTCCTCTTGATGTACATTTTAATTAAAACTATCAATTATCTTCAACAAAGAATTTGGGCCACACTCAAATTCTAACAATAAATCATTTTGTAATTTGAAATTGTGGGTTTTACTGAATGTGTGGATTAACAACTGCAACATTGCCAAGAGTTATGTGGTTATCGATAACTTCAATAATGTGCCTTAACTTAAGGAAATCTTCTTGATATTGGAGTTCAGTATCACTTTGGATCTAGAAAGAATTGCATATTGCCATGGAAGGTGCAATTGAAAGTTATTATAAAACTTTAATAGATTAGTTTTATTTTTTCGTAACATCATTCATTTAATATTTTGCAATATCATAAGAGGTGAACCGGGTTAGTAGGTTTTACTGGGAAAAAGGGAACCGTTCAAAAACAACGAAATGTCATACAATTATTGCACGACCACATAATGAGGTATACAATTAAAGAACACAGAAGAAAACCAAAACAATGGAAACAAATAGTAAAAGAACAAATGTGAGGTGGATCATTTTAAATCCACTTGGCACATCATTATTGGCCTTTTGGAAATGATTGTGCTAGTTAATGTATATTATGGACCATAGAATAAATTCAATATCCATTTCATAGTACAATAGATGAATTTGAATTCGAATGGTTTTGGATCTATAATTGTATGTGTACTCACTTTTTTTCATTGGACTTGGAGAGTTAAAAAATAGAGAGAAATATAGAGAGGAGCTAAGTGGGAGAGTTCATTTTTCGGTAATATTATTGGTTGCCTCTGACAGTTATCTCGATATATCCATTGCCATTCCTGTAGATGACAGTGCATTGAATTTGGTATGGCACAAATCTGAAGACACATTAGTGGTGAGGTTGAAGAAGATTTCAATCGGTTGGCTCAGGTTTTTACACTTGGGAGTTTATGTTTCTGCATTGTAGTTGTAATAATCATTTTACTCTACGTTATAATCTCCATAAATGGTATCAAAGCTTAATCTAGTGATGAAAAGTGTTAAAACAACATGAAATTTTGATTGGAAGTTGAAAGGGTTCAATTTTGTTCGAAAAAAGGTTACTGAAACCTTCAAATCCATATTTTGGTAAAACCACTAACCTTGTGCATGTGACGGCACGTAGAACCCGCATGCAGAACTCCAACGAGGCACGTACGACAGAATTCGATGTAGGTGAAAAAGAAAGATTGTTCATTGAGCAATTTTTGACCTTTTGGTGCTGTTAGATTTCAATTTGGTACACTCTGGAAGCAAATATAGCCTTGGGATAAAAAAGGAAAGATGAAGAATCTTTTTGTTGGTGGCTCAATGGTATTTCTTGTGGTTGCAGCAGCTATTGGACGACTTAGGATAGTTAGTGGTGGCCTTAGATCGATTAAAACTTGTATCTCTCGTTAAAAGACGAACAAACTAATTTGTTAGCTTGGTTTGCGCGTTCTATACCCTCTCTTGAATTTACAATTCGTTAATTATGATTATTTTTTGTGATCTATGTTACTTGTTGTACACATTTGTACATTTTGCAGGATTCCACAGTTATAGGAGATGTAGCAGTTTCTACTTCTTTTTTGACTGATGAGAAAGTCACTAAATTTTAGCATATGTGACTTGGACATATGAGTGATATAGATGTGGCATAGTTGAGTAGGAATGGACTTCTTGATGGGTAGAAGACTAGCAAGATAAAGTTTTGTGAGCATTGTATCTTCGAAAAACAAAAAAGAGTCAGATTCACTAAAGAAAGACACAATGCGAAGGGAGTACTTGAATATACCAACTCAAATCTTTGTATACCGGTTGGGGTGCCTCCAAAAGGATATGCTCTTATTACTTGT